TGCCTTGTGAACTGGCCGAGCCTTAATGATTCTGTTTCTTTACATGTATTTGTTTACTGACCATTGCATGCAATCGTGAAATACAGCATTTTTTTTTATTGGCTATTCGTTGTGGGGGGAAAAAAAGAAGAAGATTTCGGGTTCGGGCTCTAAATTTAACTGTGCGCTCGGGTCGGGTCGGGTCAGACGATCTCGGGTACGGGTACGGGTACACAAATATGAAAGGTTGGGGAAAAATGCAATGAGACTTTTAAATAGGAGAGTAAATCACCAGTAGGTGGCGGCAAGTGACTGTTAATAAGTGAGCGTTTGAGTCAATGATTCAGTGGTCCATTCATAAAGACAGGCACTTGCTTCATTCTTGAATGAATCAGCCGTCTGAATGAATCGGTTGAACTAATGACTCAAATGCTCACTTATTAACAGTCACTTGCCGCCACCTACTGGTGATTTACTCTCCTATTTAAAAGTCTCATTGCATTTTTCCCCAACCTTTCATATTTGTGTACCCGTACCCGTACCCGAGATCGTCTGACCCGACCCGACCCGAGCGCACAGTTAAATTTAGAGCCCGAACCCGAAATCTTCTTCTTTTTTTCCCCCCACAACGAATAGCCAATAAAAAAAAATGCTGTATTTCACGATTGCATGCAATGGTCAGTAAACAAATACATGTAAAGAAACAGAATCATTAAGGCTCGGCCAGTTCACAAGGCAAAAGAAAAAAACACTTACCCGTTATGAAAGTTTATGAACATCAGGTGCAGCGGTCACATAAATTCTGCCGAGTTTTTGAATGGTTGTATACGATAAGACGATAATTCTTCCATCGTGCAAATTGGTTATTTTCGTCAGTTAAGGCTCATTAGCATTCGGCCTGCTTTAAATCAGACACAGAAATGCAGTGCGGTAAGATCGCATTTATTTGAATTAGCGCGCGAGAGAGAGAGAGAGAGAGAGAGAGAGATGAAAGTTGCGTGTGTGAACCTGCGTCTGCGCGTTTCTCTCTACAAGCAATGAGGCTTTTAGTTACTTCAAAAACAGCGATTTTACCCTCTCACGTTGCGAGTCAGTAGCCTGTCGAAGCTATTTTACTAATAAAAGTTTCCGTGCTGTGTTGTCGTGTGCAATAATGTGTGTGCATGCGTCTATGAAAGCAGCGTAGCCTACTGCATATCGTTTTAGTTTAGCTATAAACCCGAGCCCGACCCGAAGCACTTCATTAAACATTTACACGAACCAGACCCGACCCGAAAGTATTTCGGGACCCGTCGGGCTCGGGTAGCAGACCTCTAGTGCTGATATTCGGGAAACAGCGCTCTCTTGGTCGTCTCATGTTGCTTAACTAGGCTATATCATATGTTATAAATGTAAAAACTCAATTTTATCGCAGTATGTTTTACAAGTGTCTTTGTCTATGCTGTTGTGCTCATTTGTTGTGATTTCTCTCTCACACACAGATAGGCTGCGTGTGCCTCCGCTGGTGCGACCTTGTTACTGTCAATACATTATTCATTATCAATCGTCATTTATATCGAATGTAATAAAATCAGAATCATTCTCGCCGAAACTGCTCAACTGCACTTCCCCATTTCTTTCCGACTTTACGAAATTTACATTCTCTGCTCTAAATTTCACTCCTTCATGCCCAAACATCCACATTCCTGTGATCAGAGCTGAATTGTCAGCATCATTACTCCAGTCTTCAGTGTCACATGATCCTTCAGAAATAATTATATGATGCTGATTTGACGTTTAAGAAACATTTATGATTATTATCAGTGTTGTACAGTACAGCTCAACATGACACATTTTTCTGGATTCTTTGATGAGCAGAAAGTTCAAAAGAACAGCATTTATTTGAAATAGAAATCTTTTGTAACATCATAAATGTCATAATTTAGTGGATCTTTGCTAAATAAAAGTATTAATTTCTTAAAAAAAGAAATTACAGTTTTTTTACAGTAGTGTATATGCAGAAATTGACATTAAACTAGATTAAAAAGGCTGATTTAGGCAATGTTGTTTCCTGTTAGTTCATGATACTTAATGCAATAACTAATGTTAATAAACTGAATCTCATTGTTAAAGCATTAAAGTGTTATCTGTAGCATTGCTCGGGAGAGAGTTCATGTTAGTTAAATCGGATTGTTTAGAATCTGTCAAAACAACTAAAAGAAAACACTGCTGACAGGTGCGTTCCATATGTGAACCCTGGTATCATTAGATTGTAATGTTACTAGGTGTGTTTGGTTTGGGGCAGAGAGAGCGAGCATGTGCAATAGTGAAAAAGGAAACTCTGCCTTCTGCAAGAACCCAGCGTAATGTTACTAGGTGTGTTTGGTTTGGGGCAGAGAGAGCGAGTGCAATCAATAGTGAAAAAGGAAACTCTGCCTTCTGCAAGAACCCAGCGAAAAAAGTCCACGTATTGCATTTGTCCTGAAGTTTTATCATATACACACAAAATATTTGCTAATATTTATACACACACACACACACACACACACACACACACACACACACACACACAGAACGCACTGATGATATTCTACACCAGACATTATAAGTGCTGTATTTCTGGAGTTTCAATAAAAACATTTTCAAAAGTCTTTGTAGTGCCAAAAGAGCATCCTAACATCCCACTCACAGTCCATCCTGCAGGTCATCGCTGTGGCCGGGTCAGTTGTCTGCCAGATATTTACCTGTAGAATACAAAAACAGCCCATCTTTATATCAGATTCTGCATAAAAATAAACTTCAGGGTTCGTACAGATACTATAATGAAACACCAGGAATTTCAATAATTTTTTAAGCACTATTCTATTTGGGAGGTTTTCCAGGATTACAATTGGACCAGTGGTTAAAATGTTTACTTGCCCTTCCACAAAACAAATAAATGCATTAAACCCCCGCCCCCCCCCCTCAAATTCAACTCAAATATTTCTTAAAAGACGTACCTGCAGAAAACCTTTTTTTAACCAGGGAGAGTCTGTAGCCTGAACCTACGAGTTGAAAATCACAGCCAGACAGATTGCTGCCCTCACTAGTGAACTGCACTGCCAGCTGAGATGGTCTGCTGGGGCCCTCGGCTAACTGGAAGCGAGCCAGAAGAGCGCCCACCCCTGACACACGGACACACAATGACAGGACAACAGATTTATATCCTACCAGAGTGTTTATTCACACAGTACATTTGTTAACATTTGCATTGGCATGTTTACGGGGGTTAACAACAATGACCAGACAACTACTGCACACAACTTGTATTAGTGGAACTGGATCTGTGGAAATGCTGCCACAGGTCTGCTCTGGTCTTGTATGTCATCACTGTTTAATCACATTTAACCTTTTGCCTGGTGTAATGAAGTTTGAGCAACTGTAAAAAGTGCATGAATATTTAATGAGGCAAGTACCTAGGCTGTTCATGATTGGTCCTAGCACCACTGTTTGACACTGCATAGAGTTCTGCAGTGATGATGTATTTTTGTAGGCCAACCCGTAAGCGAAAATCACCACGGTTTTCCTTGACAAAAAACCCAACAGGACTTTACCACTGGCTTTTGGATAAATGCAGAAAATTAGCTCTTGCCTGACGTCAACGTAGCAATCACTAAGCTTCTGAAAACTCATTCTATCTTTTAACTCCGATTTTAAATGAAAACTCATTTAAAATCTACAAGGATGTAAAAGATAGTTGATGCCATTTAATGTCCCGACAGCCTCTGTAGACCCAGTTAGTCACTTGTTAGGAATCACCTTTTTCAAGAAACGAAAAAATCATAAAATTCATGCATGGGTTATAATTGATGTAATATAAGAATAAAATGTGAAAATATATTTTGAGCTTGTGTTCACCCCAGACCTTATTTCACATTTAAAAAACCCAATGGCTTCAGGACGATGGAACCAGAAGTTCAAAAACGATAACTTGTTTCCTGGTTGTAAGACTCCTGCAGCACTTTTGACACAAATTCATACAAATTCCTGTCCTCTCACAGAATTCCTTCGCCCTCAACGCCTGATCAAAAATGTATATTATTGTGATATCTTGTTCCATCTAATCAAAATATCTTTAGTTGACCATTTATCATTATTCTTAGCTACTAGGCTAAGAAAACTAAGGTTAATCTGACTTTTTTTTTTACTTTGGTAATGTGATATGTAATTTAAAAACATTAATTAACATTAATTTATAAATACTCAAAAAATGACTGCTTACCTTTTTACCTACACAAAAGAAGATTGGACTGCATGCCATTTTTAAAAATATCTTCTTTTGTGTCCCACAGAAGAAAGAATGTCAAGTTTAGAATGACATGAAGGTGAATAAATGATGACAGAATTTAATTATTTGGGTGAACTATCCTATAAACATAATGCATAACATACCTTTTGAGATTTGGTTTGAAATTTGAGTTTGATTTGTGTATAAATATGTTGCATAACTCAAAAGTAGAGCAATACGACAAGAGCATTTCCATTTATTTATTTCAGTTTGAGCAAACTGCAGTTGGGAGTGAAAGCAGATGACAAGCCTCTGCAGTGAATGGAGACGTTTCATCCGCTCAGCTTGCAGAAAGAACAGCAACTTGCCAGCACTTGTGCCACCCGAACAGCCTTACATTAATGACCTCAGCATCATATAGCTGCGGTTCAGGTCTTTCAACCAGGGTATTTTTTACATGATTTCTATAAAAAAATTCTAAAATTCCATTCAACGCTGCCATGGAATCATGTATGCTAAATAGTGTAATGCAGAAACAGCTAGTTGGGCTTTATGAATCCTTTCCTTGAGTAATTTAATTGACTACCGTTGGTGCATGCTGCCACATTGTACAGTTGCCAACATGAGCAAAGCATTCTTGCAAAGCTGTTAGAGGGCTTCCCTTCCATTAAGCTACTATCGAAAAAACATTTACCTCCATTTTCAGACCTCTGTGAGAGCTCTGGGATCTTCCATGCTATTTTCTGTGTCTCTGGGTTCCTTTAAATGCAACCAATGGGCAAACATTACTATACATCAGCACACTGCTGTTGATTTGCATTGTGATTTTCTTGACAGATCCTCACCAGGTGGCAGGTGGGAGCATAGCCTGCAGTTTGTTCACGCCGCCGTCCACAGCTGCCACGAAGTGGATTTTGGTGAGTGGTGTGGGTGTGGGCATGGCCTCTATGTTGTATTTATAGTCTATCCTGAGGTCTGTGCTGTTGGCATCACCGCGCCAGCTCACCGCAAGGTTCAGCGGAGTGGACTGGATGCCTTGAGTGAACACCTGTAAGCACAAATCTCAAATCTCACACACTACTACAAAAACATCTGAGAGTATGTTAAATTTTTATTTAAATTATATAGATACTAACGGATCATGTTCATATTTAAAATCTCACCTGGTACTTCAGCATGTCCACGTTGTAATATGTGGCCTGTGGCTTCTGCTCAGCCACTTTCTTCAGGTGACTCAACAAGCTTGACATATTGACCCAGAACTCTTTCGAATCACCTGTAGGTGGCGTGGTGTTGCTGCAGGGCGAAATTATTAGCAGAATAAATCTCACACAATATTTATACTTGCTGCACACAATATTGTATTCACTAAACACTCAAAAATATTTACTAAAAAATTCATAAAAAGCAATTAAAAATATAAAATCTGTACATTTGTAAAATGACCACTTTTGTTGTTAATTCGTTAGTTAACAGGCTGATTCAGATCATTTCAAAATGACCAATATATAATTATTCTGCAAATAATTGCAGTCCAATATATATCAGTCTGTCACTAAACAAGAAACCTTTTGTTTTACATTTACAAAAAAATTTAAAAATAATAAATTCAGAATTATTGGTCAATAACAGCAATTTAGTGGATGTTTATTTCAATGAACTGGTTTAAAAATTATTAATCGATTGACCTAAGACATTGAAATGAGTTCTCAGAAGTTACTTTATGTGCAGTAAAACAGCCTGAGCATTAAGTTATTGCATCTTATACAGTAGTGTTTTTTCAGTATTATTTAAATACTATTATAGTATTCAATGATAGTTTCAGAAATAAAGATGACCAAATAAATTTAACAGCTGTGGTGGTGGTTATGGCATATATCTCAAACTACCCTTCCATCAGGCATCCTTCCATTCCATACAGTAATCAGCTTCATTTTCAATGGGTTTGTGCTCAGAAAACTACACAAATATTATAAGTGAGAGCGCGAGACGCGAGTGCAACGGTGATAGATGTCCCTCTAGAAAATACGTGAACGGCTTGGTTTCAGCTTTGATATAAACAAGATCTTCTCCGCATTGATGTTCTCTTTTTCCGCAATATTTTTAATGAACAAAGCAGCAGCGTCGCATCTAGTGGCTTCAACTGGATAGGCTAACAAAAACATTATAATGCAACGACACTTACATCGTCATCACATCTCGTGCGCCACTGATAAGGCTGCCTCCTTAACGCACAACTAAAATTCGAAAGCAACGTTTTTGCATTCGAATGTGGATTTTTATTTTAAATTCGATGAATATTCGAAATTCGATTTTTTTTTGACAGCCCTAGTTTCAATGAGCTTTTATTTTGTTTTCAGTTAAATTTTTTTTCTATTTTGTTATTTTAGTACTTACAAATATTTCAGTTGGTCACCAAGACAACATTTCTGAGTTTAATCTAATATTTATATTAGCTTTATTTCAATTAACAAAACAACTTTTAATAGTTTTAGTTAACAGTAACAACACTGTTATACAGTAGCTATGCTTTTGAATAAATTATATAAACTGTTCCAAATGTTGTGCTGTTTACGGTTTCAAATTGCACAGTATATCTGTATCATATTGGTTATTAGCTGATATTACAATGTTTAAATGTATCTGTAGTGTTCATTGTTGATACATATACAGTATATAATGTATATATATCAGCTGATATTGGATGTTTAATTGTTCATGCTTATTTTTCCTATTTTCACACTGAGATTACCTTTACTGCCATCTAACACTCACATACAGTTAATCAGTTAAATACTAATAATTTAATAACACTGGCAAATATGTTTCGCAGATCTCAAAATGAATAGCTATTTCATACAGTACATTATAATGTTGTGTAGCCTAAATTTGCTCGTAGCATTTAGTTTTTTTGTGTTTTAGACAAAATAATGTAGAATTCGTAATACTGACCATGATTAGCATCAGCCATAATCTTAATATCTCAACAACCCTATTTCCGACTTCTACCCCTTCAGTTTTACTAGAACCAAACAAAATTCTCCTTTACAGTGGGACGATTTACAAACCATTTCTGAAATGGCTTGACTGAATCATTAAAAAGCCCGGTTCAAAAGAACGATTCCCTCACTAGTGGGACATCACTATATATTACCAGCACAGAAGCTGTGGGTTGGGAAGGACCTGCTCCAGCCGATTGTACTGGCTGATGGTGAAGGTCAGCACTGGTGGACTGGGATGGCTGGAGAAGTGTCTGGTGATCCCTGCTGGGAAAGACAGCACCATCTCACCAGTGATCTTCACCAGACACCTACAACACACAGTAAGACATGAGAGACGATTAAGGACAGTTTCATTCAACTAAATGTGAACTAAATTCAAAAGGTGACTTCAAAATGTGCTCTGTGGCCTACTTAGTGGGATCTGCTCCTTTAAAGTAGGCGCTGATGGTCTCTGTGAAGGCGGCTGCCACTGGTAGAGTGTCCTGGGGTCCCATTGTGAGAGGACTTGGACCTCGGGAACACGCTGAAATACAGAAGTAGATCTAATATCATGCAAAGCTCACACAACTTTCTGAAATTAAGAAGGCATTATTCCTCACGCATCATAATCAGCAATAGCTGTTGTGGCCCACCTGATACAGAGAGGTTGAGCTCTCGGCCTAGAGTAGGTGTGGAAGCTGCGCTCAGAGAGGTGACGGAGGAGATGGAGGAGGTGCTCTCAGCTCTGGCCAGAGGAGCAAAGGGTGGAGGACTCCACGAGTGGATGGGGGGACTGAAGGGACGGGCCTGAGGAGAAACAAAAACAACAGCCTGAACCAGACATACTGAAAAGCACTCCTTGTGATTTCATAAGGAGCTCAAATGTTTCACAGCAGTGGAGAAAGTCGACTGATGCAGTCATACCAGATCTGCTAGGTTTGGTTTTCCAGGTGGCAGTTTAGGTCGTGATGATGGTCTTGGTGGTAGAGGTGGGATCGGACTGCCAGCAGACAGGGGAGTGCCGGCACGTGCGGGAGAGGACGGCCCTGAGAACATAAAATCAGATTACTATTATACTGTAAAAAGTGCTAACCTGCAATTGTTACCTTAAAGATTTCAATTCAATTCAAGTTTATTTGTATAGCACTTTTCACGATGCAAATCGTTGCAAAGCAGCTCTACAGAAAATTTAAGTTTCTACATTATATTTAGTAATAGCTTATCAGTGGTGACTATCTCAAGTTGATGTCCATATGGCAGAAATGTACAGTAAAAATCAAGCAGTTAGTTCATGTGAACCCATATTTAACCCATAAGAATGGGTTTTGTTGGTTTAAATTGATGTAAAAAGATTGCTTCAGTGACACTAAATGATACTTTTGACCAGTTATTTTAGATGTTACTATTTTTAGGTTTTGATTTTTTTTTTGGTGTTATTATTATTGTAATGCAAATGCTAAGATAACAAAAATTTCAACAATCATATAATCAGATAATTCCATTAAGGTTCATGTTGACCTGTTGATTTCTAAAATGTATAGTTTTATAAATAATAATAATAATAAACAATTAAAATAATGGCATTTTATTTATTTTATGTGGATTATTAATAATACTGAATGAGTTTAGAATATTAATAATACTATTCCTTGTTTCAGACGTTCATTACAAACTGTTCATTTGTTTTCACAGAGAAGGCGAAAACTGTAGTATGCTGTAAAGAACCATTTAAATCTAATTAATAATCTAATTTATTTCTCTTTACAAAATGTGATATTGCCATTTTGGGTGCCATTAAGGCAGCAGAACTACCACTGTAAAAACTACAACTTTGGTTTAATATGCGCAGTCATAGAAGCAGCTCCGGGTGTCTATTTTTCTGCAGTATTGACAGCCCTTTAGTACAAAGCCCTGCACATGACATGCAGGGGAAAAAAACAAGATATCATGGTCACAAATAAAAATATGTTCCCATAACTTAACGATTAGTGACCTTGTTTTAATTCAATCGTGACTAAGACATAACTGAATTAAAACAAGGGAACAAATCAGTAAAATATGGTCACGATTGAACTAAAACAAGGGAATTAATAAAACATGCACTGTAAAAAAATATTAAGATCTTGCAAATGTAAAAAAAAAAAATCTTAGTACTAATTTCCCCTAGCTTTTTCTTGTTTACTCAACTTTTGTAAAAAAGCTGTTATACTGATTGAAAAGTTGGCAGATATACAAAAAATGTTTAGTTGAGTTAACTTAAGATTGTTAGTTTTCTAGAGATGTGCAACAATTCTATAACAAACTTTTTTCCGAGTTGTGGCAACTCAACATTTTTTGTCTGTAGAACTCAAATACCTGAAGTTGATTGAACAAAAAAATGCATTAAGAATGGTATTAAGAAATAATGTTATAACTGAAAACTGCAATAACAGTGTCCAAGTCAAAAACTGAAAACACTGACACAATATTAACAAAACATTTATTCAAAAGAGAAATGTTTTTAAGACAATGTTTTCAAACATTTCACCCAAAAATGATAATTCTCTCATTTATTCCCTTATGTCTCAAACCCATATTTATATATCTTAAAAGTTTTGAAACCCTTTTACTTTGCATTGTATGGATGTAAACATACCAGTCTATGAAAATATCTAAAATATCTTTGTGTTCTAGTCATACGAGTTTGAGATCAATACATAGAAATGCTATCACCACAACATAAAAATCCTGTAATACCATGCTTTTTAAATTCACAAATATTTAAGCCAAAGCGATTCAACACTGCAATAGTGAAATTAAACACTGCAGTTAAAACCGTTTTACAAAACTCTGCCACTAAATATGAAACATGACTAAACAGTAGCATGTACATGAGAGACACAAACTTTCAAAATCTGAAGGATGGTCTATAAAATAAAAGTGCACCTATCTGCAAAACACTCAAATGTGTATTTTAGTCCAAAGAGTACCATTAAAGCAGTGGGAAAAGTCAGATGGTCCTCCATTACCACAGTTTCCTCCAGGATGATGCAGAAGTTTAGTCATCTCTTTGTTCTCTGTGAGAGCTCGTCCTCCATGACTTCAAGGATGCCCATTTTCGCTCCTCTTTATCAGTGTCCTAAAGGCCCTTTCACACGGGACGCGGCAAGCGGTGGAATCGCCACGCGGCTGCCGCTTTCTCTTGTAGTGGAAGCGTTTTGTGCAGTTGAGGCGGTGGTCGCGTTGTGGTCTCGGAGCAGACGTTGCCATAGTTACAATTGTCAACATCACCTTTGTATTTACTAAAAACTAAATAAAACATAACGGAAATTTGTGTTTGTGTCATTCTGCCATTAATTGTCGTCATTATTTACCTTTTTTTTTTCCGTTTGGCACAAGTGAAGTTGTTTTTGATGATTTGCCTAAAGAGCATAGGCCTACCTGTGAGGTCACGATTGAAGTAAAAATTTGAATGAAATATAATTCTGTCAGGACCACTAGCGTCAAATATGATTGACAATTAGCATACAGTTTGGATTGGCGGTATGGTTCTGTTCTGGGCAAGAACTCCCTGCGCATCCATGCAGCCTAGCATGGATGAGAGCAGGGAGAGCAGCGATAACCCCCCCAGGGTAAACAGAACAGAACCAACATAAATGTATTGCAGATATTGTTAAAGTTCAATCATTTTAGTCTGTTCACTAATTTTAGAATTAGTCTGATTCAAAGGAGAATCAGAAGGCTGAATCCTGACTGACAGAGGAGGAGCTGGGGATGGAGGAGCGTAATTAGCTATTGAGCAATGCGAAAACTGATGATAATACTGAGGGACCTTATATATGAATGCTTAGATAGGTGTCGTATTCCTATAGGTAGATGGGGATCAGCTGAGAGTCAGCTGATGCGAGCTTGACTAACGTGACCTGCCAGAACTAACGCTACGCTTGATTTTTATTTATGTCTCTGTATGAGATTTTAGATAGGTCATACAGTTCTGGGAAATCTATTACACTTAAAACAATCTTCTCCTCTATTTTTCCAATGGCCAGTTCAGCTAAATGTTCACTGATTGGTTGAGACCGACGCGGCTGCCGCTGCCGCTCACAAAAAGATAAAATATTTTTATCTTTGGCGGCGCCTGCCGCGAAGCGCCGTGCCCGTGGAAGCGGCAGGATTTTGGGTGCACGAGCACCGCTTGCGCTCCGCCTCCGCGCCGCCAGCGAAACCGCCCGCGTTTTGCCGCTTTCCGCATGTCTCCCATTGAGAATGAACTAGACACTCGCGACTGCCGCGTACCGCGAAACTGCCCGCGTTTTGCCGCTTTCCGCATGTCTCCCATTGAGAATGAACTAGACACTTGCGACTGCCGCGTACCGTGTGAAAGGGCCTTAAGAAAGAATTATATAATTGTATTGAAAACTGGTTGAGCAAGAGTGTAAATATAAAAATCAAAGCTCAAATACGCTCTTTCAAACAAAACATGGCGCATTTTGTGCTAACCTGATGTAAACACTTGATGAAAACAACCCACAAGCACCTTTATTAAATATAACCACACATTTCATAAATGAATGGTGATCAACGAAAATATGAGAAGAACAAAATTTAGAAACCTACCAAATAAATCTTGAAGATTCCGTTCCCTGAGGCAAAACGGGGGTCCCCATAGAGCCATATTGTGTCTGTGATGGGCTGTCTGTTGCCTGTAGGAGGGAAAAAAATATATAGTTTACATCTGTATAATTCCTTGTCATAAATTTATGAGAAAACAAAACTCAAGTAGACAAAATAACTGTCAATGAAAGTGTATAACCGCTATTTCCAAGGGATTCATAAGCATAGGAATTATACTGGCTTGTTAAAATTTTTCAGGATAATTCTCATTTCACTTTTTTGGTCTACTGAATACAAACTCAACTTGTTCAACAACAAACAAAAGCACTGGAGGAATAATTCTTGGCAGAAAATTACCAGTACATTTTCCATTAAATTTACAGACATTTCCTTCAACCCTAAAACACTGCATGCAATGCGGAATTCAAAACACAGGTAAAACACTTGTGCAAAAAAAATAAATAAAAAATTGAAAATTGAAAGAACTGAAAACTGAAAGTTTTCTTCAATACAAACATTGTGAAAATCACACAGGTCACAGTTAAATATAGCATGCACTGCCCTTTTATCAGAATTTATGTGGACCCCAAGTAGTTAAGTAGTAGTTTTTAACGCACCTGGTTTATTGAAAGTGCAGAAGAATCAGGGTACAGGCACAAGGGTACACCCAATGCTTGAGCCTGTAGTGTTTCAGCAGCAGATTTTGACTGGTGCCGGTGTGTTTCTAGTACCTGTAATGAATTAAGTGTGCTCTCAGGATCTGCATAAGGAAATACACAAATGTGAATTATCAGGTTAATAAAATGCAAATGAATGCACAGACTTTAAAACGCTAGGCATCATACACTTACCGACTCTGTAAATAGTCACAGAAGAAACACTGGCCATCACTAAACAACTGAGGATCACAAACTACCAGACTTACAAGATGTTCCGATCACAAACTCACGCAGAAACATGCGCCTTGTTGCTAGGAGACGCATGATAAATGAAAACAGTACATGTTCTAAAATCGCCTCAAAATATCAAACATGTTTGATCTCCTCCGACTGGATGGAATAGAAATCTGAATCTAAAAAATCGTATGTGACCATCATAAACTACACGTATATATGCACGATTTCCAAACGCAACTTAATTGTGCAGCAAAATCCATTGCAACAAAAGACAAAAACTTAGTTATTTCATATAAAAGGATTAAAATACAGCTAGATTTAAACATTCAGTAATGTTTGATAACTTACAAAGAAAATGTAACGTTAGTGGTGTTTTTTCTTCTTCTAAATAACCAATATCAACTAAGTTAACTGGGGAAAAGTGTGACTTTAAGAAAAAACAATGATCATCAAAAACCAAAGAAGCACACTTACCATAAACACATTCCTCTGGATTATTGCCACGTGCTCTTCTTTCATAAACACTCTTCTTCGGCCGCTTGCTGAACACTTGTCTCTCCCGCGTTGAAAAGTTTGAAGCCTTGAAAAGTTTACGTTGACGTACTATACGCAACCAGCACGTACTGAGGGCGTGGTTTAGCGCGCGAGAGAAAATAATGCCGTCATCAGAAAACATCCCGATAATATTTTTTAAATGTACGGTTTATTTAAAAATAACAATTCATTAGAACAGTCCATACGAGTTAATTGTGTTCTGAACTAGTGAGATGAACGCATAGACATTTTCTAATACAGTGTACAGAATTATTATTATTATTGTTCTTGTTGTTATTGTACAATATTATGATCTTACAATTATACATTAAAGAGCGTTTAATTTCTTTTAAAAATCACTAAACAACCATTTTTCTTCATTGTCCTGAAGTAAACAACAGTTTACATTTTATTCCAAAAATTAGCATTTGTTTTTTACTATATGGGTGGGCAGTCATAAATGAGATTGACTTTTTTATAAGTTGGATTTTATAAGTTGGCAGAGGTTTTTTTGGATGAACTTGCTGATGAAGTGCTGTTCACTTAACTCATCTTTTTAAAGGGGTCATATGATGCGATTTAAATTTTTCCTTTCTCTTTGGAGTGTTACAAGCTCTTGGTGCATAAAGAAGATCTGTAAAGTTGCAAAGACTTAAGTCTCAAATCCAAAGAGATATTCTTTATAAAAGTTAAGAGTCAGCCACGCCTACCTAAAACGGGTCGTTCTAACACGCCCCCACATGTCTACATCACGATGTGGGAAGATTGCATAACGCCGCCCAAATGTTCAAGCAAAGAAAGAAGGCGTAACTTTTATTCTCACTGTTGTGGAGACGCTGTGTGTTTCGTTGTGAAAGCGAAACTACTTTGTTTGGCCTTCCAAAAGAGGACCATATCTGCTTCGTCATGCCTAGAGCTGATCCGTGCTGATCGCTGAGGAAATACACGGACAAATGTTCATGCAAAGAAAGAAGGCGTAACTTTTATTCTCGCTGTAGTATTGTTGCTGCCGCCATGTCGTGAAGGCGCTGTGTGATTCGTTGTGAAAGCTAAACTACTTTGTTTGGTCTCCAAAAGAGGACGATATCTGCTTCGTCATGCCTGGAGCTGATCCATGCTGGTTGCTGAGGAAATCCTACAACTTTGCGCTGTGGATCGCCGGATCGGCTTTCACCGTGGACGAAGCGGAGTCCAGCCCAGAGTTGTCACATGCCCTTCCGGACGCTCCTTCGTCGAAATCACCATTCTCAAGCCCGCCCGCAGCCGCTCACTCAAAATCAGAGCACACCTCGCTTTTTCAGACTGATGAGCTTTGTAAAAATCGACGCGTTTCAGAAAGGCGGGGCATAGAGGAGAAACAATAATGTACAGTATGTGGAAAATAATGTGTTTTTTGAACCTTAAACCGCATAAACACATTTCATTACACCAAATACACAAAACAATGTTCTTTTTAGCAGCATCATATGACCCCTTTAAGTTTATGGAAAAAAACTTAGTTTAAGCTGAATAAGTGTATTAAACTTAGTTGTACTGACTTTTTCATGGATTTTTTGCTGAGCCAGCAAAACAAAACCAGTCATTTAAACTTTTTCAAGTTGTTTTTTACAGTGTGACCAAAAATGAATAATTTATAGAAACAAATTAATCTGTGGCGGCAACATCTATTTTCCCTTCAGCATGCCATTTGTGCTACTTAAAAATTTAGACAAAGGAAATCATGAAATTTGAGTGTGCTAGCCATTAAGACAGCATTCATAGTTTTATTTAAACTTACACAAAAACATTTGTCTGTCTGTTGCTAATCATCGAAACTGTAACAATCTAACACTACATTGTTTCACACTGTACAAGTTCGGCACCACAATGCAGAGTTAACACTACAAAAGTGGTGCTAATCCGGCTCCGGAGCAAGGTTTCATAACCCCATTTAAAAATGTTTAATTATAAGTGAGGTTTAGAACAGAGATAACCCTGGGTTATGCACAGTGTGAAAAGCCCTAATGTGTCATTATGTTTTTCCATACTATGGAAGTCATTGGGGACCAACTACTGTTTGGTTATGCACATTCTACAAAATATGTTCAACAGAAGAAACTCACACAGGTTTGGAACTTGAGGGTGAGTAAATGATGACAGAATTTTCCATTTTGGGTGAACTATACCTTTAAGTAAGAACATCAAACTCACCACTGCCAGGTCCTGGGGAGCCCATCACACTCCTGTAAGTAGGAGGTGGAAGTGGAGGTGGGGTTCCTCTGAAGCTTCCTGCTGTGAGGTCTTTGGGTGACGTGCCAAACACAGCAATCTCATCCCTTATGCCCACCAGGTCAGGGGTTCTTCTGCTGTCATCTTTCAAGGCAAGAGGGGAAGGTATGGCTCCATGTGGAGGGTGGTCTGCTGGCAGGAAGGGCAGTCCAGGGCTGGCAGGGGTGAGGGGGGACTCTTGGGCGAGCTCTGACTCTGGGAGCTGAAAGCAGCAGGGAAGGTACAGGGGACTCAGAGGAGAGTCTGAGGGCGGTGGTGGTGGAGGTGAATCTGGAGGTGGGATGGAGTGGAGTGGGGGAGGGGGCGAGACGGGTGGCGGCAGGTTGAGAGGCGAGGTCGGGGGCGAGTCCGCGGGGGAAGAGGACAGAGGTGGGGAAGGGGCGGGTTCATCTGGCGGAGGAGGTCTGGCGGGAGAGCCTTCGCTGAAGCTCACCCAGCTGCACTGCACCACATCTGATCCAGACCTGGGCGTCTCAACAGGCCCAAAAACACTGTCCAAGTCAGGCATGGACGCCCCTCTGGATGGGTCAGATAATGGGGCATCCTGACAGGCCGAAGCTGATCCATCTCCTCTGACACTAGGAACCACACTATAATAACCTGCTCAGACAGAACGACAATGAGCTGTCAAATACTCTTCCATTCTTTCACCACTACAAACTAGGGGTGTGTGATATTTATTGTCAAAATTCAATATTCAAAGCGCGTTTTTTCCCCCAAAGGTATCAGCATGATTGCAAATATGATATTGATTTTATACAGTTCAACAAGTCAATATTGAGAGTTACATTTTACACAATATTGTCTGTTTTTGCTCAGCAATGAAAATATTTCCGAACAAAGCTGCAGTGTGTATCTGAGCAACACAGTGGTGTTCCGTTCCTGAACGAATCAGTGGTTTTAAACAAATCAGTGATTTTGTTGCTTCGTTGCTGAAGGAGTCAGCCATTTGAACAAATCGGTTGAATGAATGACTCAATGACTCACTCATTGAGACAGTGACTTGGCACCACCTACTGGCAATTTAAGTTTCAAATTTAAAGTAATATTTATTTAAAAAAAATAATAATTTAAACAATTTCAATATTTAAGCGATTTATTTTTTTTAATATTATTCTCATAGCATTATCTATACAATTGTAATTGGAGTGTAAATAGATCTAAATTGTTTCTTTGCCACTCCTGGAATGCAAAAATTGATTTTTGCCAATACTGATTTAATTTCATAATTATTCTAGCTAAATTTATTGATTTAAATGTAAGAATTTGACATAAAAGATGATCAATCAATTCAATAGTAAGGTTAGAAAAAAATGGCCTTATAAAGATAAAAATGTCCCTGGAAATCACTTTAAAGGTGGGGTAAGCGATTTTTCAAAAATGCTTTAGAAAACTGTTTCGGGCCCACTAGCAAAACAAACTTGTCGCCAATCAGCAGTAAGGGGCGTGTCTACTCATGATGTGGAGGAGAGAGCGTTCAGTCCGAGCCGAGCGACAGAAAGATAGAGATGGCGGATAAAAAACAAAAGAGGAAAACGTCTGCGGAACAAAAGAAGGCTTAAGGCAAGAAGTAGGACCCGTGTAAATATCGGATCAGCTTTTCAGCGCTGGAGATAACTCAAGGAGCGGAAGGCCTGCGATCAGACGCCGAGTTTGCTTTGCTTCTTCTCGATAGGCGAGTAACACCGTGTCTGCGCCGCAACTGGAGCTATCAAAATAGGGGCGAGACCCTTTTGGGGTAGGGGCGTGTTTGTTTTGGTGATTTCAAATGTCAACATTGGCTACCAGAAATCGCTTACCCCACCTTTAAGGTGGCAAATATCTTCCCTTAAAAAAGAAAAAAAAAAAGATATATACACTGAACAAAATTATAAACGCAACACTTTTGTTTTTGCCCCCATTTTTCATGAGCTGAACTCAAAGATCTAAGACTTTTTCTATGTACACAAAAGGCCTATTTCTCTCAAATATTGTTCACAAATCTGTGTTAGTGAGCACTTCTCCTTTGCCGAGATAGTCCATCCACCTCACAGGTGTGGCATATCAAGATGCTGATTAGACAGCATGATTATTGCACAGGTGTGCCTTAGGCTGGCCTTTTATTGTGGCAAAAACAAAAGTGTTGCGTTTATAATTTTGTTTAGTGTATATAAATTGAATAAAATATTTAATAAAAACATTTATTTCTGTCACTGCTGTGAATGGACCACTGCACAGAATATAAAGAATGTAAAGAAAATATCAATATCATTTTAGTCGATATCGCACACCCCTACCACAAACATAAAGCTGGGAACAAGTATTCTGTAGTAAGATGATTCTGAACAGGAACACTGTTCTTTCAAGAGACTGAAATGATGCAATTTTGGATGCTAAATGGGAAGTGTCAGTACGTACCGGAAGACTCTACGGAGCTAGAGCTGCGTCCAGGTGGGGTGACAGCAATGTTCTTTGGAGGAAGTGGAGGCGGAGCTGAAAAGACAGATGAAAGGGCATGTTCGGAAAAAAGTACTACCTTACTGAATACCGCACAGTATAAATAGTTTACATTATGATTATTAAAATATCATACAGATGCTAACATCTATGTACAGTGTGCTTTAAAGTGCTGTTATTGCTAACTAAAACAAAAAAAATCTGTCGACTGAAATAAAGCGGAAATAAAAAACAAAATAAAAAAAACAAGCTAAACAGAAATTAGACATGTTGGCTCTAACTAACATAAGTTTAAGTACTAAAATTACAAACTGAAATAAAACTACAATAAAAATAAATGTGACTATTTGGAAGTATTTTTATAAAACAAAACTAATAAAAATGACAAAAGCACAAAAAAACGCCCTTATGTATTCCAATTTACATTGCTAATCAATTAATAAAATCAGTAATAATTGTAAATTAAAATGAATTCTTTTTGTGTGACCAGTTCAAAGCGCAAAGTGTTAATACATGTGATTTTTTCTTGGTTAATTTTGTAGATCTAGTCACACTCTGAAGTGAGCAGTGAAATGTGATGCTTTGTAGGATTCAGGCCCTTTCATAAGAAACTATTTTAGCATTTGCCACCATTGTGTGTTATATTGGCGCCTTCACTGGGGCAGTTCTGAAGCTTCAAACTGGCATTATCAAAAAACATTTTGGACATTTGACATGCAGTACCTCCAGTGGGCAGAGATCTGCTCAGAACACAGGAGGAGAGAGAAGTGGACCGACACCAGAGCTCCGGCTCAACCGGGAACACTGTCATTAAAATTCATGAAAGAAATACCCATCAATACAAACCTTATGAATCACAGTAATGCATGACACGGAAGAACAATTCTTTAAAGGGTTAGTTCACCCAAAAATGAAAATTCTGTCATTAATTACTCACCCTCATGTCGTTCTAAACCCGTAAGACCTTCGTTCATCTTCGGAACACAAATTAAGATATTTTTGATGAATTCTGAGAGCACTCTGACCCTCCCATAGACAGCAATGTAATTACCACAATCAAGGTCCAGAAGCGGAGAAGACGAATTGTTGAATAAAGTCGTTATTTTTGTTTTCTTTGCGTACAAAAAGTATTCTCGTAGCTTCATAAAATTACATTTGAACCCCTGATGTCACATGGATTATTTTACCGATCTCCTTGCTACGTTTCTGCACCTTGATTGTGGTAATTACATTGCTGTCAATGGGAGGGTCAGATAGCTCTCAGAATTCATCAAAAATATCTTTATTTGTGTTCCGAAGATGAACGGAGGTCTTACGAGTTTGGAAAGACATGAGTGAGTAATTACTGACAGAATTTTCATTTTTGGGTGAACTAACCCTTTAAATTACATTTCAATTAAATTTTTTCTAAAACTTCTCAAAATCACATTTTGACAAAGTAACTCATCAGTGTTCGGTTATTTAGGAATATTGTTTTACCTTCTGAGTTGTGTGCTTCAAAACTGGTCTCAAATGGCGAGCCGAAGAACACTGTTGTTTTTTCTCTTTTTATGAGACAGAAGGAAAATACAAGGTCAAGACATACCAAGAGTATACAGGCAATGAAATGTAGTAATGTAATTCAATTGAGAATGAGTAATTCAATAGTGAGCAGAAGCACAAACTGTTCCATGAGGGTTTGAGATGGTGTACTAACCTGGGCAGGTCTGAACCGGGTCCTGGAGTTGTCGTGGGTGTTGGAGTAGATCGTCGTGGTCTGGCAATCTCCTCACCTGGAATATGCAAAGTGAAAATGACCTCTATGATCTACAAACTGGAGTGATATGAATACACAGCAAGTCAATATTTCCAAATAAACACTCACTTGACAGGTTTCGTTTCATCTGGCACTGGAACAAAGGTCACAAAAGAAGATAATGCCAATAACAAAGACATTTCAAAGACCACAAATACTATAAAAGACTTATATTAACTGACATGATGGGATAGAAACCCTCTTTCTTTGACATTCGCACATGCATTACTATAAAGCATGTTCCAAAAATTAAACTCCTACATGACTACCGTTCAAATGTTTTTGAAAGACATCTCTTATGTTCATCAAGGCTGCATTTATTTGATCAAAAATACAGTAAAAAACTGTAATATTGTGAAATATTATTTCAATTCAAAGTAACTGCTTTCTATTTTAATATATTGTAAAATTTAATTTATTTCTGTGATGCAAAGTTGAATTTTCAGCATCATTACTCCAGTCTTCAGTGTCATATGATCCTTCAGAAATCATTCCATGCTGATTTTCTGCTCAAGAAACATTTATTATTATCAATGTTGAAAACAGTGGTTCTGGTTCATATTTTTATAGAAACTGCGATACATTTATCTTTACTGTCACTTTTGATCAAATTAAAGGATTAGTTCACTTCTGAATTAAAATTTCCTCATCATTTACTCACCCTCATGTCATCCAAGAGTTTACAAAGTGAACGTGCAAAGAAGGTCAAATGCCCTTTATAAAAAATGGTAAAACAGCGATGTAGGACGATTTAGAACGATTTTGAAGTTGGAGGAGAAAATGAGATGGGAGTTTTTCGATATACCCCAACTGTCATGAACCGGAATGCACAGTTCACGCAGAATTAGACAAGACGAGCGTTTGAAGTTAAGTATATAAATTGTAATTTTTTAAAATGACAGATCGTTTCATGGGACTGCACAGAGTACGCATGCGCATTGCAGAGCTACACAAAACAAGCGTTTGAGGTTAAAAAGTATATAAATTGTAATTTTTTAAGAAAATGAAAGATCGTTTCGCTAGATAAGACCCTTCTTCCTCGTCTGGGATCGTGTAGAACACTTTGAAACTGCACTGAAGCTGCAATTTGGAGCTTCCACCCAGTGAACCCCACTGAAGTCCAATATATAGAGAAAAACCCTGGAATGTTTTCCTCAAAAACCTTAATTTCTTTTCGACTGAACAAAGAAAGACATGAACATCTTGGATGACACGGGGGTGAGAAAATTATGAGGAAATTTTAATTCAGAAGTGAACTAATCCTTTAATGCATCCTTGCTTAAAGTAAGAAAAAAAAAATCATGTATAATTTGTTAAAACATGAAAGAGTCAAAAACAGTACAACTAATATTATAAAACTAAATTCTGAGAGATATCAGGCAGAGGGTATTATTTGGCACCTGGACATTGATTTCCATTAGTTCCATTTATCACAACTGATGAGTGACAAACATCCTCAGCTAATGGAAAACAGAGTCCAGGTGCCAACGCTGGAACATTAAAGGGGTCATATGATGCGATTTCAAAATACACAAAATAATGTTCTTTTTAGCAGCATCATATGACCCCTTTAACATCTAACATGCTGAAGCTGCAGATGATATCAAGAATCGAATGATTCACTCATACTGATCCATGAGGGTATCAAGCTGTCAGTACAGCAGTAACACAGCATGAAGCATCATCACAATTAAAGGTTTAGCCAAACAAAGGCTCTAGCCCTACTGTGCATGCGATAGCAGCGTCAGACCTCTGTATCACACACAATACATTTTTGTAGTAGTTTTTGACATTTACAAAATCCACACTTACTGGACTTCGCCTCTGAGATCAGCAAAAAAGGAGAAAGAACAGACCTGGTCAGAGAGCGAGTGACAGATCAGACAGATATTAACAAAAAATAAATAAATACAAATAAATGATTGTCTGTGATGGATCTTTCCTCACCTACGGCACACAGACCAAACCTACGGCACACAGACCAAACCAACCACACATGAAACTTGACAACACATTCTCTAATTGTTTAGTTGTGTTTACTTTCTTAATGTCTAGACTGGCAAACTAAGGCTACTAAATTTATGTGATATTAAAAAGTTAAATAAAAACGGAGATGTGGAAGCACACTTCTGCATTATACATGATGCATAAATGCATTATAAATGTGTAACTCAAAGAGTACAACAGGGCAATAGCAATAGCATGGTTATGGGTTTGTATAAATTTAATGCAATATACTGTAAGCTGCTTTGGATAAATGTGTCTGCAAAATCCATGAATGTAAATGTACATAAAGCCAGTACTTCAAATAACATAAATAAGTTCTGTTTAAAAAAACATTTATGATTGACGCATATCTCTCTCAGTATTTATTCAAACATAGCTGTAGCGATAATGTACCAATATTAAAGTTCTGACTGATACTGTTAAGACGAGATTATTTTCACGTTATGGCCAATAACCAATATTCAATACTATTTTGTCTAAATATCTTTAAAATAAATAAATAAAAATAATAGTACAATTGTACAAGGCATCAGAGAATAAAACTGTATGAAAAAAATATAATACACTATCATTCAAAATTTTGGGCTCAGTAAAATTGTTTTGATAATATTTTTATTCAGCAATGATGCATTAAATTGATCAAACGTGACTGTAAAATCCTTTTATAATGTTAGACAAATAAAAGATAAAAAATGCATCACGGATTCCATAAAAAATTAAGCAACACAACTGTTTCCACAATTATAATAATAAGAAATGTTTCTTGAACAGCAAATCAGCATATTACAATGATTTCTGAAGGATCATGTAAATTTAGCTTTGCCATCACAGGAATAAATTACATTTTAAAATACATAAAAATAGAAAACAGATATTTTACATTTTAATAAAATGTCATAATAATATAATAAAAATACAATTAAAATCGGTATTACTTTTCACTCTATTTTTGATCACATGAATTTCTTTTAAAACCATGAAAAAATCTTACCGACCCAAACTTTTGAACAGTACTGTATATATGTGTGTGAAAAACAGATGTTAGCATTAGATGAGGGCAAATATATTTTAAATGTACAAGTAGTGGATATAAATATGCACAATTATATATCCAATATCGACCGACACCAATAAAACATTTTAAATATATAAATAATAAAAAAATTATCACTGATAGTTTGTTTAAGCATTTCAGATTCACTTTAAGCGTTGCTGATGATTAAAATCAATCTGACTGAATTTCCATTTGTTCTAGTAATCACCTTAAAGTGCCCCTATTATGTCAATTTTAAGGTTCCTAATATTGTTTTAAGCGTCTCCTGCAATTGGTTTACATGCATGCAAGGTCAAAAAATGCTTTCATTTTCTCAAAATATGCATTTAATTTCACCTCATTTTCCAACGATTCGTTCGAAGCAGTTCTAAGCTTCAGTCTCTCTAAACCCCTCCTTTCCGTGAGCCTACTCTGCTCTGATTGGTCAGATGGCCCAGTCTGTTGTGATTGGTCTACCGCGTACAGCGCGTGTCGGAAACCATACGCCCATTGCACATAGGTGGGCATTATGCAAATGTATTACCCCGTGTCGTGTAGCCGTCATGGAAGTGGGATTCGAATTCCTGACGACTCGTTTAGGCTGTTCAGAGTCGATTCTTTATTTTGGGAGACAGTAACTTTATTTATCGTGCACTTTCGGCTTTACAAATTTGCTGATTGTTTACATTCACATACAGCTACATTACACACTGCATGAAAGGCAATATACGAAATGGCACGATAGGGGCACTTTAAATGGATCTGCCATTTGTTGTTACGATCCAAAGAGCTAAGACACGTAAACTAAGGCAAAACCATGAATGTGACAGATATTATACAATTCTAACTACATCTTTAATGGTCTAAGGAAGTATAAAAACACTTGCTTACCGGACTCTTTCTCTGTGTGAGGAAACAAACAGAAGAAAAGAGGAAATCATCTCAGTATTTTAATGTGAATATTACTATGGGACATCAACACTGTAAAGTAGGGCTGGGCAAAAAAAAATATCGATTTTCCGATTAATCGTGGTTCTTAATTTCTTTTTATTAATTCACCATTTGTAAACTGATGTTTACTGTTCATTTTTTAGAAATATCAATAGCATTTGTATTAAAACTATATTCACTGAATGTAATAAAATAATAATAATCGAGAATCGGATCGAATCGAATCGAGAGCTTGCGAATCGAAATCGAATCGAATCAGGACATCTGAATCGATACCCAGCCCTACTGTAAAGCATAACTGCGAGACTAACCAGAGGAGAAGGAGAGATCGCCAGTGTCCCCACTGAGGCCTTCAGCTCATCCATAGTAGACACTGTGCAGCTTCCACTGTTTGATGTCAACGGCTTGATCTTGATCTTGAATTTCTTCCCATGCTCCTCCTCTCCCTCTGACTCACTGGAGGAGAATAACATCTTGACTTTTGGAGCTGGTGAGTCTTGTTAAAGAAATTCGTTTCACAAGGAGGAGTACATGGCTAAATACTACACTAAAGGCCCTTCAAATGACTCGTCCCATCTCCATAGTTTTTAGTCTTTTTTAACAAATGAAATGTCAGAAAAGATAAGAAACAGTACAGAGCAATATGCAAGCATAGACTGGATATCTCCCCCTTGTTCTCCAGGTTTAACGCTGTAACCCTCATCATCCACATCCGGAGAGTTCTGTTACAGAACAGACAAACATATGGGGCATTACATTCACAGGAACTGTAAAAACAGTAGGAAAAATGAGCATTCAGAGAGATTTACTTACATATCGATCCCAGTCAATCTCACCGTAGTATCCATTAGGTGCACCATTGGCTTTTTTCTGAGAATGAAACATGTGGGACGAGACATTGTAAGAACAAAAACTATGATATATTATTTCACAACAAAGCCTTCACTGACGTGGATTATGCTGTACTCACAGATTTGTCTTTGTCTGGTGATCCACTGAAAGAAATGAAAGCAATTGTTCAGATTTCAGGCATAAGACTGAATGATAAGTATACAATAAGTATACACAACATACTTCAAAATGGGCATAAAGATAATATAATGTGACTATGTGACCCCTTACCAAGTTTACTATATGCATAATGAATATACATGCAAAACATGTATATGCATATATACATGCATGATGAATATACATTTTTGTGCTTATGCCAAGCTTGAAAATATGCTGTTGTGTAGAAACACTCTTGGTCCAAATAAGCTGCAAAGTGGACCAGACTTTATATTAACAGTTAAAGACTGGCTCTTCTACTACTGCATATTTGACAAAATTACTCCAAGTCAAGTCTTAGCAATGCATAATCATTATAGCAAGCACAATTCACTCAAATCACAATAAACTAGGTTGTGCCAAGGCAGCCATTTCTACACATGCACCAGTGAGCAAATCAGAAAATCCTTTAGAGATCTGTGTTAGAGCTGATGTCCACGGTCACATCACAGACTGTTCTTACTCACGTGGAGTCACTGTCCTTTTCTTTCTTCCGTATCCCGAAGGCCTTTCGGGTACGCTTTTTCAGTCCTGTTAAAAGTCATGTTTGTCATCAGGAACAAAATACTACACAGTTCCTCTATAGTGCAACGGCAGTAGCAAGTCTCGGTACTTGCTCTGCCGCAGCAGCAGCAGCAGAGTAGCAGATCCAAGACCAAATGCATTAACATTGTCATGTATATTACCATGCCAGTTGTCATGACAGAAATAAAGGTCGGGGTCGGTACGAATTTTTTTTTTTTTTTTTGAAAGAAGAGCTAACCAAGGCAGTTAAATGGTAATACTGTGAAATATTTTACATTCATGCATTTTTAAAATAACTGTTATAACCAATTATACAAGAATTTGCAAAATGCAGTTGCAAAATGTTTTTAGATAATGTAAATATCACACTGCTGCCACTGCATGTCATCAACTACCCAAACACAAAGCAATAGGTTAAACAGTAGACAGCAAAATTCACTAGCATCTGAAAAAACAAACTTAGAATTCAGTTACCAGGGGAGTGACATTTCCCATAAATATTTCAACATCTGCAACTAAAAAATGCAAAACATTTTTTTCCCCAAGACCTCATTCTAAGTGCACTGAATTAAATGCTGATTTTTTAAAATATATGTATATATATTTGCATCAAGGCAGCATTACTCTACACTGGGATTCAAAGCACATGTTCAACCTGGATGACCAAATCTGCGATGAGGCCATGCAGTCATTTTATGCAAGATCTAATGCTTATTTTTCAATATTTTCTCTATCTTCTAGTTTACTTTTATGCAGAAACAAGAGCCCCTAAGAACTGGCACCATGGTCGATATTAACAGATAAGGCACAAGAATTTATAGCCTGGAGATCTTGGCATACGGGACCGCTTGAGGGGCTCAGTGCCAGTATAAAAGCCTTTAGTTGTGTGGGTTCACCCATCATGCCTCTAGTCTAAAAGACCTCTAGGGAAAAGCTGACATTTCCTTCTCCGCTTGGTTAAACGCAAAGCAATTAAGCCGAGTTACTACAAAACAAATATGAGGAGATGAAACTGCGTGCAGCTTGCTCACTACCTTAAACAAATGAATCTAAAATGCCACTTGATAAGGACAGTTTTGTAAGATTGGATTCAAGGAATAGTTCACCCACTAACATAATGTCATTACACACCCTTGTGTCATTCAAATCAAAACTATTACTTTTTTCTTCCGTAGAACACAAAAGGAGAAATTTTGAGGAATGTACTGGCTGCTCCTTCCGATTATTGATTGCACTGACAATCAATGTGGACTGGAGATTTCAAGCTTCACAAAAGGACACAAACACATCATAATGGTGGTCCATACTACACTACATTCAAAATTTGTGGACAAACAGGCATTTCTAACCAATATGAACCTGATCACCAGTGAACTCGGTTTTATTTAAACTTGCTTATCTAAAAAAAAAAAAAACTGATTCAGACTGGTTTTGAGAACGGTATCAACTATTTCATTCAAGATCCTACGATGGTGTTTAACAAAACCTTAAAACCATAAATAAAATCATTCAAAAGATCCTACTTTTTTTGTTGTTGAAAGAAGTCACTTTGCTCACCAAGTCTACATTTATTTGAATACAGTAAAAACAGTAACATTATGAAATATTAAAGTTTAAAAGAACTGATTTTGCTGAATTTTCAGCATTATTACTCCAGTCTTCACAGTGTCACAAGATCCTTTAGAAATAATTTCTAATATGCTAATTTGATGCTCAAGAAACATTTATTATTATTATCAATGTTGAAAACAGTTCTATTCTTCAGAATTTCCTACAATTTTCCAGGAAAAAATAAAAAATAAAAATCACAGGTTTGGAACTACACGAGAATGAATAGATGATGACAAAATGTACATTTTTGGGTGATCTATCCCTTTAAACTAGAGGAAATAAATCAATGCATGAAGTGACCTGTAAGATCGTGAGGGTGGGACTGTGGACCACAGAGCAAGGCACACACGCATCCCGATGGCATGGCAGATTTATTTTGTGCACATGTGTAAATCTGGCCCACAGAAAACCCTAAATTTAAATGTGCCATCATGATGTTTGTGTGTGTCACGGTGCAAACACACATGCCCACTGGCCATACAACGTGAGACACATAATCCTTCACCTCTTTCAAGGAGACAGACACCAAAACAAGCATGTGCTGCATTCGGATGTCATGTACAGTACAGCCGGCTAGGGAATATTAGCACGCTAATAAATAATATCAACGGACAAGCGATTAATTTAAGGGCCCAAAGTGGATTTTTTGTTACCTTGCATCATGGTTGCAGCACTTCATTCCTCGGTTTCACGCGAACAAACAAACTGACATGAGATATAGCAGTGATCCGGTAACCGGTCGTTAAAGGAAAGGCTCATACTGTCCAGCCCCTCACGTCCTCGCCTCTCGGGTTTCCCGGTAACCGGTGGATTAGGCCCCGGGCACCGCCGCATCAGCAGCATCCACACACGCCATCATCACAGAGGGGATGCTGAGGACAGCCGAAGAACGGAGAATGTGAGAGAGAGAGTGTGGGAGGGTCGCGTAATTACGAACCGTACTATGGCGGAGGCTTTACTCATGAATATTAATAAGGTCATGTCGACGTAGGTTGGTAACCTTCCAAGACCGTCCAGTCAGGTAACGAATTCATATTCATGAGCCGATTCGTTGGTTCGAAGATTCACTAGCGTTCTACGCCACTTTGTCAGCAAATCAGGTAGGTCTGCGTCACGTTGCGTAATTAATATTCATGACTAAACCATGCCGTAGTAGGGCTCGTACATTCATTCACAAGAGGGATAAGAGCAGGCCCGGTACTAGGCTCGCTGGACTGGGGGGGGCAATCAGAAATTGTGGTAGGGCAGCACTTTCTAGGGTAATATATTCATAGTTTACTTTTATTTACTAAATTTTCAGTCTTGCATTTTGTGTCTGTGTGAGTGCAGAAATGTTAAATATATGTTAAATATGTGTTTATGCTGCGTTCATGTCCTCCTGGGACGTTCGTACTTTTACGAGCTGACAAGTCGTAATTACGAGTCAGGTGCGTTCAAGTCAGTTTAGTCGGCACAAGATGGCGGTGTACCTTCTTTTAATAAATTACAAGAAAATACAACAGGGTCTGTTAACTCTGCTTATAGAAAATGAAGAGCAAAGAATTCGCATCAGGTGTGTTTTGCGTTTTTAATATTTTTTTTTAGACTAGGATCCCAGTATAACTGATTTTCAGCATCAACAAATGCTAAAATACAGAGATTAAAAAAAGCTGTTAGCTAAATGCAACATGCAACAAGGCAAATCAAAAGATTTTTCACCTATAGGTGCAAAAATTATAGCATTTTGTACTTGGATTTCATTAACTAGCTGCGTAACAACATGACCCATTTAAGTTTATAGGACAACTAAACTATCAATTTAAACAAAAATTTACCGTCAACTAGACGTTGCAGCCATCGATTCCGCCATGTTTCTCATTGACACGCCCCCAACTCGGAAACTCAGGGCTTAAAGAAAATTTCGAGTTTCCCACTCGTAATAATGACTTTGTGGTGGCGTTCATGTGCGTTCAACTCCTAAACACGATCTATCCGACATGACTTGAACGCACCAGTAGACAATATTAAGTGAATCAAGTGAATCACACCCACTGCTCCGGCTTTGTGTTCACTGCTGTGTGTGTGCACTTTGGATGGGATGGGGGGGGCCCCCCCCCCCCCCTAGCCCCCCCCAGACCCGGCCCTGGATAAGAGGGGAACGGACTCTGGCCTGATCCTGAGAACGATATTCATTTGATGAAGTGCTGGTGGACCAAATCTGAGGCCACTAGTGAAAATAGTAAAGTTGAGCATTTTTCTCAATTTTTCTAGATTTTATTTTCTAATTATATTTTCAATATAACAGTTTGGATACATGAATATTATTTATTCATTCACCTTATACTGTGAAAAGTACTGTAGGCTACTTTGATGTCATAATCTTCGAAATGTTTTGCTGAAAATTTACTCGCCTTTAGGCCATCCAAGATGTAGATGAGTTTGTTTCTTCATTGGAACAGATTTGGAGAAATTTTGCATTATGTCCAAGTGGCAACCTTCCGGTCTCTCTCGTGAAGCCAACACGGAAGTGACTAAAACTGCAATTCATCGACTGGCCGCTAGAGGCTGGCTCCAAAAGGGAGTCAGTCCCATTGACTCCCCATGTTAAAATGCCCAATTTTACAGCAGAAAAAAAGTTTACAGCCTGGTACAAAAAATGATTTTGGTCTATAGCTAATTTTGCCCTTCATGACAACTGTGAGGGGGGTGAATTTTTTTTATAACTCATCCGTTTAAATTATATTAAGCCTTAAAGTTCTGCATTCAGTAACAGCTGGATTGCCGCTGCTGTCACCGGCGTCGAGCTAGGTGGGCGTGGTTTCAGCAACCAGCTCCCGCCTCTTTGCCAATTTTCGATTATCCGGGAGTGACTCGCGGTGACGCGCTGCCAAGAGGGCGACGGTTGTCTCCGCCCACTTTGAGCTTCAAAACCGCTCTTCAGAAACCTACGGGTGACGTCACGGACACTACGTCCATGTTTTTATACAGTCTATGATTATGCTACTTGCTCACCAGCGGATCCTCTGCAGTGAATGGGTGCCGTCAGAATGAGAGTAAAAACTGCTGATGAAAACATCACAAAAATCCATAAGTAAACTACACGACTCCAGTCCATCAATTAACATTTTTTAAAAGTGAAACACTGCATGTTTGTAAGAAACAAATCCATAATTAGTACATTTTAATTTTAAACTGTTGCTTCTGGCCAAAATACGAGTCCATAATCCATAATAATGCTTCCTCCAGTGAAAAAGTCCATCCCTCTCACATCAAAATCCACCATTTTAGTCAGAAGCAACATTTTGAAGTTAAAAAATGCCTTGATTAATTTTCTTACAAACACGCAGCTTTTCGCTTCTCAAGACATTAAGTGATGGACTGGAGTGGTGTGGATTACTTGTGGATTATTGTGATGTTTTTATCAGCTGTTTTGACTCTCTGACGGCACCCATTCACTACAGAGGATCCATTGGTGAGCAAGTGATGTAATGCTACATTTCTCCAAATCCGTTATGATGAAGAAACAAACCCATCTACATCTTGGATGGCCTGACAGTGAGTACATTTTCAGCAATTTTTTTTTTTTTTTAACTATTCCTTTAATGTCAGTGAATCTGTGATTCCCCCAAATCTGTGAATCTGTGATTTTAAAAAGTAAAGTGTCAAATATAAAGGCCTAAAATTTAAATGTATTTTATTGAATTAAAAGTTTCAGCCCCTTAAATGATCGTTCAGACACAGCATTTTGGTGCACATGATGTACACTGTCTGTCATGCATTACTAAAGCTGTTTTGCAACAGAGGTACCATATATAGCCACAAGGGGTCAGCAGCCAAACTGATTTTCAGATTGTGAATAAACACTGTAAAATAGGGCCAATGAAATCTAGAAATCTTGTCAACAACTACTGGAATCTCTCATCTGAGATGTGTCATTTCACAGAAGTTACACCAACAACAGCACCAACACCAGAGTAGGTTAGTTAACAGGAATAAACACAGACACACTATTTATTTCAGATTGCAGAGAAAATGTAAAGAATGTGTGTAATTTACAGTCAACCATTTATTGTACACCCAGCTTTTTTTTAAAGGGGTCATATGATGCAATTTCATTTTTTCCTTTCTCTTGTGTGGAGTGTTACAAGCTCTTGGTGCATAAAGAAGATCTGTAAAGTTGCAAAGACTAAAGTCTCAAATCCAAAGAGATATTCTTTATAAAAGTTAAGAGTCACGCGTTTCAAAAAGGCGGGGCATAGAGGAGAAACAATGTACAGTATGTGGAAAATAATGTGTTTTTTTTTACTTTAAACCGCATAAACACATTTCATTACACCAAATACACAAAATAATGTTCTTTTTAGCAGCATCATATGACCCCTTTAAAATCAAGATTAAATGCCATTGAAATTCTACATTTTACAGAAAATAATAACCTTAAAAACTAACCTTACAAAATAAATAAATATTAATATGCAGTTCACATTACTGGAAAAAGTTTTATTAAATTAGGGAATGCATTAAACTCACAATAGGTATTTGTACAAAAAGTTTTGTAATACGTTCAGCATTGTAGTACAGTCTAATGTGTAAGACGTCATTTATTTTCTGTTTGCAGATTGTTTGACGTTCTGTTTGTGGTGCTGGATGAGAGAAAAGATTAGATGTGGTCAACAGATTACCTTCCAAAGCGACTGATTTACTAGAACGGCCAAACTACTCTGTGCATACATATGCACTGTACAAATAGTCAGATCTGCCACGTTCAAAAGACATGAAATAATTTCTACAGTATGTAAAAGAAGGCTTTGTTTCATTAACAGCACATCTGAGCTTCTCTTAACTCTATATTGTTCTTTTATGCCAATAGAGCATCATTTCACAAATACTCAACAAAAAAGTTTATGTCTGTCTGAAATAGATACATTTAATTACATTTTAAATACTTTTTATGTAAATGTTTTAATATTTTCTATATTAAAAACAAAAATGTATTTATTTACTTATTTATTTATTAAAATGTTTGCTTGTTTTTGAAATACTGAAAAAAAAAAAAAAAAATATATATATATATATATAAAGTATATATACAGTGTGGTGGCATATGCCTGACCTTATTCAAACTGCCTTCCTCTCTGTCCACAATCTCATTGTTTTATTCTCCTTGAATGAATTGTGTGAAAGCATAATCAGATATGCAACCTGGCCCTCATCTTGAGTGCGTGATAAACGGTCGTGATATCAGGAAATTCATCCTTTTCTGTGAAAGGAAAGTGATCAGACTTGTTTTCGCCTTGATCACTTCCTCCTCTGGAACCGAGGGCCCTTAGAAAACCTTCCAGTGGCTCACATGTATTGAGTTTGTGACCTATGTACTCTGGGTGTTTCTCTGAGTTGTTTCTGGGTGGTGGCAGATGTCACGTCTGCATGATCTGTACTCTGATACATGGTGAATGAGTGCACTGATTCGTTCTGTTTTTGGTGTTTTGTTGTTATGTCTGTGCAAACAGGGGAAATAACTAACAAGTGATACGTAACTGAAAAGTTGGTTTAAATGCCTTATGCACCAAGAGCTTGTAACACTCCAAAGAGAAAGGAAAAACTGAAATCGCATCATATGACCCCTTTAATGTAATAGTGTGCCATTAGTGTGCCTTAATCCCTTGAATTTCGTTTAGTTTTAAGGGCAAATCCACTTTTGATACTTTTGTTCCAAGGAGTTTTTAAGCCACTGCTAGTTTTGAATGAACACATATTAACAAAAATCCAAAATACATAAACAATTATATATTAACAGTGCCTGATAGCTCAAACATCGTATCTCACAGCCAGGTGGAAAACACTTATCTGAATTAACTACTTTAGCAAAATTGCCTGATTGCATAATTATATGTGGTTGGCACACTGTTACATAACACATATGGTTTGTAGTATGTGCAGGACTGTTAACATGAAAAATAAAATTCTAGGCTGTCTTGACCCTAGAGTATGCATAAGAAATACAGCAACAATTACAGACCAAAACATTTTCATTTATTTCTCCGTTTAATCTCTTTTTTTGGACAAATAGGAAATGTGCAACTCAACTTTAACAGAGGTTTAATACTAAAAAATGATAGTATATAATAGTAATAAATATAATAATAATAGAGATTACAGTGATTCCACCAGTGAAATCACAGTTGTTCTAGAGTGTGCATGTTCATCAATGGCTTCACAATGACAAATATGAGTAAAAAAGGCAAAAGTTTTGCAGGTACAGCTTTATATCGTAACCATAATTTCGACTTGGGTCAAGCTTCTGTGAATAATAGTCCTCCATTATTAAATGCATTAACACAAATGGTAAGCAAAAGTGCATATTGTTACACATATTGTGCACGTTCGCCACATCCCGTTCCTGACCAGTGAGAACATACATCAGGAGGAACCACATTGTTTGACATCAGTGATTGTGTAATTGAGGTTTATTGTTGACTTTCTTCTGTGAATTTTAAAAGCTTAGATTCTAAGAAATGAAACGCATAAAGAGAAATGAATAGGGCTTTAAGTTTCAATTTTTTATATTAAATCTGAAGTCTCTTTTGACATAAATGTATCTTAATGACATTTACAGACTCAGAGGTCATTTTTAAATAGTATATAAAAACAATTAGTTATAAATTGGTTTAATATCACTATTGAGTGTTGGGATGTTTGTTTCTCATATTAAAAGTGGTTAAAAGAAATAATCTGGGTTTAATAGTGCAGCTTGATCGACAGCATCACAGATACAATGAGGGACTTATAATAGCAGCTCCTTACTGTACTTATAATGGCTCTTACAATGGAAGTACAAAAAAAACCTAAAATTATTTTCTGTGGTAATCAACACAATCATCACAGATGTGACTGTGGAGCACAAAAGCAGTCTTAAAGGGATAGTTCACCCAAAAATGAAAATTTGATGTTTATCTGCTTACCCCCAGGGCATCAAAGATGTAGGTGACTTTGTTTCTTCAGTAGAACACAAATGATGATTTTTAACTCCAACCGTTGCAGTCTTATCAGTCGTATAATGCATGGCAATGGCAACAAAATCTATGAGAGTAAAAAAAACATGCACAGACAAATCCAAATTAAACCCTGCGGCTCGTGACGACACATTGATGTCCTAAGACACGAAACGATCGGTTTGTGCGAGAAACCGAACAGTATTTATATCATTTTTTACCTCTAATACACCACTATATCCAACTTCCTTGAGCGCGCGCACGGCATCCGATGCATGAGGTGTGTACGCGCTCTGGC